AAAAAAAAAAGATCTATAAGTCCAGGACATTTTCAAGTTCAGGCCACCTGCTTTTATGTCCTCTGAAAGCTTTTCTCGACTTTTGGCATTGCATGAGCTCTTCCCGCTGCCGCCTCCAATGTCTCACCATAGATTCATTGACGCTAAGCTTGCGTACAGCAGCCCGGTTTCCTTCCTGAATAGCAAGATTGATGGCCTTCAACTTAAAACTCATACAAACTTCTTTGTGTGGTTTCCACGATGAAGGGGCGAGGATTTGAAAATAATTAATAATAATTACACCTTTGTATAAGCCTCATGGTTCAAAACGTAGGAAAAAAGTAGCGGCTTAGAGTCCAGAAAATACGGTGTGTGTATATATATGTATGTATTAATGTTTTAAGATGATCTAGGAGTGTTTTTTTGTCACTTCCACAATTAATGATTCAAGTTCAAGAAATGATTATATCCCCTAACAATTCATTTCCATAATCTTGTTGACAAAAGAATGTTGGGATTAATGAAAAATGCCCAAAGACATCTGCAAATGTGTAAACCAAAGGGAAACAAAAGAAATATTATGGAGTAAAATTTATAAACAACACTTTGCTGATGCCACCTTGCAGCCATTTATATCAGGAAAGTGAACTTGTATACTTGTATATGATTGATGGCTCATGAAGGGAAACCAAAGCCTTAGGCTAGATGCTTATCTCCGACTTAGCTAGGCTAATCAGTCGCTACAGGTAGGAGTGAAAGAATCTTAATATTATAAATGAAATCATCATTTAAAACTACATTTTATATTCACAGAGTTTATTTTTGTTTAATATAAAAATTTGATGATTTGTAACATTTAAGTGAGAGAAAAAGGCAAAAAAGCTAATTAATAAAGAAGGTGGGAAATGTTTTTTCACAGCACTGATATAAGAAAGTAAAGTTTATTTATGTAGTGCTTCACAATGTCAGACAGTAAAGCATTAAAACAGCATAAAAGGATAAAACCAAATAAAAGCACGTTTGCATAGGTGGGTCTTCACCTTCCCTTTAAAGGTATCAGCAGTGTCAACAGATCTTTAGTCTAGTGGAAGTGAGTTCCACAACATGGCAGCGAAAACCTCCCTTTATCCTCGACTTGGACTGAGGTACAACCAAGAAGCATTGATCAACTTGCATCACAGACCTAGCAGTTATGTATGGATGTAGAAATTCACTAATATAGGGAGGCACCACAAAGAACTTGGAAAGTGATAATCAGAATCTGAACTTTGAACTTTGTGGTGAGCCAGTTTAAAGAGGGCAGAATCAGTGTCTAAAGGGACCTTTCAGAGGAACTGGTGAGAAACCTTAGGGCAGCATTCTGGGCTATCCAAGGATGCGATCCAGAGATAATTTGGTCAGCGGAAGTAATAACAAATTACAATAATAACAATAAAGTGAGACAAAATACACAATTGGCTGCCATCCGGTTATTTATAAGACAAATTTGGTAACATTGAATGACATGTACAACTGGGCATCATGTCAAACAATGATATGAGATGTCTTCAAAGAAGACAGGCCCCAAAAATGAACCTTGGGGCACACCACAAGATAAAATCGTAGAAGAGGACAGGAATTTAGCAGAAGCGCATGAAAAACTTCTGTGCGTGAGGTAAACGTACGATATGATATTGTATGATACTGATACACTCGTTGGAATATTTCTAAAATGACAAGCTAATTTTCAAAATTTCCATTGTCAGATTAGTCACCTAATAGTTTCTGCTCTGTGCAGCTAGTTTTGTGTGCAGCACAACACTGATGAATAATTAAATGGTACACTGATTGAGTTAAAAGAAGTCCCACTTTTGTGTCCTGACAGGAAAGAGCTCCACCAAGTACGCCCAGATTGACATCACTGCCACAGAGATGGCCCACAAAGTCGGCACGTTGCACGCTCTGGGTCGGCAGGAGGGCCTGCACACTCTGGAGCTGAGAAGAAAGGGGACGCCACATTGAATTTTCCTTCACTCAAACATTGATCTCAGCAGGATTTTTTTTCACAACAGCAGAACTACAACATCAGACTATAACGTTAGCAAGAAACGTGGCTCTGAGGGCCTTCCTGTGGGATTCCTTCTCTATTCTGTTCCATCTTTTGAATACAGATATCTTTGAAAGCAACCTCAGCCAGTTTACAAAACCCAGAATCCCAGAAAAATGTATTCCGTCCAATGTCTACTTTGTTAGATCGAGACTGTAGTCACAAAGGAGCTGGAATATGGAGCTGGCTTTAGAAAGGTTTGGCTCTTAGTCATGAGATTTCACAACGTTTTTTTGTGAACAACATCTCGTTAAATGGCATTACGCTGCTCCTCGAGCTCCAGGCTCTCTAGAAGTTGGATGAGCAAACCCTGGGCTGAGTCAGGGGCCTCACTAATACCCCAGAGCAAAGGCACTTCACAGCTCACTCAAGCCATCACTAATTGTGTGCTGTTTTTGTCCTTGTGTGGGTAAAAAAAAGAAAGGTAGGGTGTTGGCAGGAAAGGAAGTGGAAACAGTGTTTGTTCTCACAAGGAGTTCACACACATTTATTCCTCAGTGATCTGTAATTCCATATGTAGTTGCACATAACTCTTTCTGTGTTTCAAATTTAGGAAAGCTTACCAGCTGGTCTTACTCAGAGTGATGCAAAATTCAGAGTAGCTTGATGCGTAAAAAAAAAAAAAAAGATTTGTTGTGTAAAAGTAGCACAAGTACTGTATTTTCTGGACTATAGAGCGCACCTGTATATAAGCCGCAGATATCTATGTTGAAAAATTAGATATTTACTGCATGTACAGAACGATTTTGTACTGTAAATGTACATGTATGTACCTGAACAGATTCTTTCAGTGCCTTTTAACGGCAGCAACTTAGCTGATTAAAACGGAACAGAAACAAAAGAAAATAACCAGTATTAGGATCCACTGACAGACATCAGAAAAGGATGCTTCTCACCACTTGTCATCCAAGTCTCCCACTCAACCCGGAGTGCAGCTTTAAATGCCCGATTCACACTGATGTCAAGTGGCTGCAAATACTTTGTTGTACCTCCAGGTTTAGGGCCCGGATGGCTTGGCGATAGAAGCTCCTCTTGAGTCTCTCTGTCCTTGCCCAGATGATGCAGAACCTTCTACCGGATTTCAGAAGTAGGAACAGTTTGTTGCCAGGATGGGACGGGTCCTTCAGTGTCTGTGCTGTTCTAGTCCGGCATCTCCTGGTGTAGGTGTCCTGAAGTAGGTGAGAGCAATCCTGCAGCAGCGTTCAGCTGTACGGATCACTCTCTGAAGAGCTTTTTGGTCCTTAACACAGCTGTTCCCAAACCAGGATGTGATGTTCTGTGTGACGATGCTCTCCACAGCGCCTCTATAGAAAATCCCGAGGATCTCTGGAGAGACCCTGAACTTCCTCAGTTGTCGTAGGTGGGACAGGTGCTGCCTAGCCTTTTTGGTCTGGACCTAAATGCGGGCAGCCCATGTCAGGTCTGAGGAGATGTGGACACCGAGATATTTGAAGGACTGCACCCTTTCCACTGGAGCTCCATTGATGATAATGGGCTTGTAGTCTCTGTGCTGACTCCTTCTGAAGTCCACCACCAGCTCCTTGGTCTTGCCAACGTTCAGCTGGAGGTGGTTATCCTGGCACCATGATGCATGATGGACAGGTTGTCCATCTGCCCTGATGGACAAGTTTTTACGTCTCATAAATCTGAAACACCACGACAGCCCAGCTTTGAAATCTTCAATATTCATTTCGCGGACGATTGTTTTGGCTTTCAGTCGGATCTGTACAGTGAGTACACCTCGGCCACCTGCTCTCTGTGTATTCACCCAGTCCTCCAGGACATATTCAAGTTCAGGCCACCTGCTTTTATGTCCTCTGAAAGCTTTTCTTGACTTTTGGCATTGCATGAGCTCTTCCCGCTGCCTCCTCCAACGTCTCACCATAGATTCATTGACGCTAAGCTTGCGTGCAGCAGCCCGGTTTCCTTCCTGGATAGCAAGATTGATGGCTTTCAACTTAAAACTCATATGAACTTCTTTGTGTGGTTTCCACGATGAAGGGGCGAGGATTTGAAAATAATTACCAGTTGGTAATTTGTTGTGTGTGTGTTCTGTCTGCTAAAGAAAAAGTAGCGTATTCTTCTTTGCATTGATTTTTCATCTGTCTTGTTTTTGATTCCAATTCCAGTGAGAGCGCCCCTAGCGGTGGAAGAAAAATCCACAGAATAGCCGCACCTTTGTATAAGCCTCATGGTTCAAAACCTAGGAAAAAAGTAGCGGCTTATAGTCCAGAAAATACGGTAATGGTTCTATGCGTGGTGACTCTTGTTAGCCTGGCTCTAACTAATGGGAAAAAGATCAGTTGCTGCCATACATTTTCCCTCCTGCTTCCCAGTTCATATACAATTGGGTTTAATTTGGGAAAGTCTTCATAAATAATGCAAAGCTTTGTTTTGTTTTTTTAAAATCAGTGGCTGTTTTTGTCAAAATTATATTATACAATGTTTTTTTTTCTAATCACCTCCCTGAAGCTATTAGCATTTTTGTTATTCCATACTGTGTGTCTGTGTGTGGATATTGGCATTTTACTGCAGTATTGAAAATAGCTTGTATTTGTAGAGCTACTCCTCTTGATAAAGCCAGTATTGCTTTTTTTTTTTTTCATGTTCTGTTCACATAACACTGTTTTGATTAGCTGTAAATATATTTTCTTTCTATTTGGGTGGATTGTCATAAAATGTGAAGGTGTTTCTGTACAGTAAGCATGTATGGAAAGGGTTCAAGGATGGCATCTGCTTCCTAAGGATCTACTTTTTTTCATGTAATACTCTTTTTCTTGTAAATTATTTATGTTAACACTGCTTTGATGTGTTCTTTCTTTTTCTTTTTCTAGAACAACAGTAGATCTCATATGGCTCTCCCTCCATGTACAGCTGTAAACCTGTTGGGTACCATATTATATAAATCAGCCTTACCATTGATGTGTTTGCTTCATTCAACTGTAACACCACTGGTTTATAATGCAGATAGCACAAATAATATTAATACTGATCATCTTATTACAAACTAGCTATATATATCTTTTTTTTATTATCATGCTGGAAATGTTTTTTTCCTGTTAACACTGAAGACTTAGGCTTGAAAGCTGAGTCAGTAACACTGAGGGTGCAGCTTGCAGACACTCTGTAGCTCTAATTTTTACTCATTTATTACAGCAAGAAAGATGAGATGTTTTGATAATTTCTGGGCAAACTGGGAAAGTAAAACATAAGTAAACAGAAGTATTACATTGATAATACATTGAGCATAAATGTCCAGCTTTATGTGCAGAAAACGTGAACATGTACAAATTAATATATGGTATTATATGTCACACTGCATTGATGGACAGTTTCAATAATGTGAAGTGATTACAAAACACTCCTCCATGTACAAATTTGACTTAAAACCCTTAGTAGTCTTTGCCCAGATTTGAAGTCAGTCATTAAATAATTGAAAAAAACAAAACAAAACTGCAAAGGTGCCTTTATTGATCTGATGCAGGAATATCAGCCAAAGACAGACAGCATGGATGATAATGGAGACTGCCTGTGTGACCTCATCATGTCAGTTGCATCATATGATTTAATATGGTGCTGCACATTCTGCTGGGTGTAGCAGAGGTGCTCAGAACATCATATATTTCTTGGTGTGTGTGAGTGTATTTCCACTTTCTACTGTGCGAGGTAGCTTACCATGAAAATCCTTTGCTCGCAGCAGATATTTGTCCCCTTGTTGCACAGAGGATATCAACATATAAAGAACACCTGTGAGAAAATCATAGTGAGGTGGTTGTGTTGGTTTACACAATATCTGATGTGGTGTTCACATTTAAACACGGGATCCAGTAAGATGTTCAAAGGTTGATTTTTTTTTTTAAACTAATGATAGTTAGGTAAGTTATTGTCCTGAAAGCTAGCATAACACAGTAATCTAATGTAACACAAGTAATATACAGTCACTGGTTACTTCATTAGTTACACATTGCCAGGACTGTTGACCTCCTGTTTGCTGTCAGAACTGCCTTCATTCTTCATTGCACAGATTCAACAAGGTGCTGGAAACATTCCTCAGAGATTTTTGTCCATGTTGACATGATACCATCACACAGATGCTGCAGATTTGTAGGCTGCACATCCATGATGTGATTTTCCCGTTCCATCACATTCCAAAGGGAACTCATTGTCACCTTCAAGAACCAGTTTGAGATGATCTGAGCTTTCTGACATGGTGTGTTATCCTGCTGGAAGTAGCTAGCAGTAGATGGTTACACTGTGGTCACAATCAGATGGCTATGGTCAGAAAAGATACTATATCCCCCACCTCGTTTCACAACCACCTGTCTAAACTGTTGAAACAAGACAGGATAGATCCATGGTTTTATGTTCGTCTGACTCTATGCAATCCCAATCTTGCAGCAGAAATCAAGACTGATCAGACCAGACTTTTTTTTTTTTTTTTAAATCTTCCGTTGGACATTTTTGGTGAACCCCTGTGAATTGTCTTCTTCTGCATTAGCCCATCTGCTTAAAGGCTCAACATGTTGTGCATTCAGAGATACTCTTGATTTTAACAAGTGGTTATTTGAGTTAGGGATCTTTTCCTATCAGCTCAAAGCAGTCTGTCCATTCTTCTATGGTGTGTCCAACAAATTGACAGAATGTAATGTAGTCAGCAAGGGTAAGGTTATTAAACATTTAATTTTAAGAAACTGTCTCACCGAGACCAGATATTGATTAATCTGAGTTTCAAAGTGGCAATGCTCTAATGGATGCCAAACTTCATTTGTGCCTGAAATGCAGTGTATGCATGGACTGAGCCACAGGTCCAGTGTGGGAGCATACACTAATATCTCCAGTCCATCTATCCAGGAAAGGATCTGTGAGCTGCTTGCCGTTGCAGGAGCTCTGGGAGAGAAAGTTCCCATACAGTTGCCCATTATTCTCAATCTAAGCTGCACATCAGCCTTTACAAATTTCAAATTAAAAGCTCCCTTACAGAGAGATTATCAATGGGGATTGTTCCCGCTCCACGTATTTTTAAGGTAGTCGTATCTTATCCACCAACTCTTAGTGAAAAATGATTAACAGTGACTTGTCACAGACTTGCACCCTGGACATTAATGTCACTGAACTGAAACGGAACCATATGGTGCAGTGAAGTGTTTCATGAAAACTCATTTACCTTAATACATTTAAATGGAGAGAGCTGTTAAATTCATAAAGCATAATGGACCGCCTCTGTGGACAAATATTGATATAAATAAATTAATGTTAATGCCATTGAGAATCTAGTGACAACAGTTTAATGAACTATGCAAATCCACAGACAGCTTGTAATTGCAGGACCTGCTTTCAAAGAAGGAAAAGCGGTTTTAATCTCTCCCGCTGTGCCTACCAACAGCGACATACACCATAGGCCTAATTCAGGACTACCATCTGTCTGCAAGAGCTGGAGACCTGGGACTCCCTTAAGTCATAAAAAATGAGGATTTGCAGGCTTAAATTACTTGAGACTTCTCTACCTGAAGATTTCCCTTGCAATATTATGTGTAGGTGTTGACCTGAGGAAAATCAAAACTAGTATTTACACCACATGAGGCCATGAACGCCTTACATGACTTCATGTGCTGTTAAACACTTGACTTCTTTACGTGGTCACACCACAGTGGTTTAAACCTTGGTAAGTCCACCCTGATTTTCTGAGTCTAGGAATGAGTTCATATAAAAAGGGGCTGTGCTGGCACTGGATGCTTAATCACACACGTGGGCAAGTTAGGAAGCAGACATTTAAAACGGGCTAAAAGCAACACATTTGCAGCAGCCAAAACCTGGAAGGAAAGCTGGAAGAAAATGTTCAGCTGGGCTTATCTATATCACTGCCTCAACATTAAGCCACGGGTAGATCTAAATAGAATTGTCTTCCCATTAACTTAATGTGTTGCTTAGATACTGTTCTAAGCAACTATTCCTATGGCCTCCCGGGAACATTTAACACCATGATGGTGTTAAATGTTCCCGGGAGCAAGTAAAGAACAAAAACACAGTTTAAAACATGAAATAGTCGTACTTACAAATCGTATAAAAGGTGAACTAGTAGGCTGCAAGGCTTTTGCGTCTTTTATGTATTGTTGTACAGAGGCCAGGTG